GGCCCCCATTTGCCCCGCCCTATCTCCACCCCTTTCCGGCGGCGGCTGCAATGAATTCCAGATGTGGCTGGCCCAGCGGGGCGCGCGCCAGGGTCGGCGGGGGAGGCTCGCGGGGTCCCTTTGTCCGCACCCCCACCATCCAGCCCTGCCCCTCCCAGCCCCCACCCGTGAGAACCGGCCGGAGCATGACGTCACGGGGCTGCGTGGCGTCATGTCGCTCCTGGCCAGGTGGCCTCAACCTGAAACAACTGTCTTTAATTGCAGATATACTCTTGGCCCATACCTGAGACCCTGAAATTGGAGAAGCGCATGGAATCCCTTTTATTTACTTACCAAGGAGCCACGAAACACCTACTAAGTGTCAAAGCAGCAAATAGATATTAAGTGCCTACTGTGTGTTCATCCAACAAATAAGCAAGTTGCTACTGTGTGTCGCGACCTGCCTCAAAGACAGGATTGGATTTTGCCCTGATGAGACACCAGAATTCAAGCGCTGGTCCCTCTGCCCTAGAAGACCAGAAGCCCCCAGCAGCCTTCCCTGCCTCTGTGCATCGATTGCCCTCACTGTGGTCACCCAGCAGGCCTAGGTTGAGTCCTGCCTTTCAAGCTGGGGCCCAATCTTCTATCCAGTTCTTTAGTTTCCCTCTTTCCACTTTTCCTGGGCATCTCTGTGTGCCCAGCTATGTAGATAAGACACACCTTCATTTACTGATGCGAGCGTGTGAAATCAGTGACCAGACGACATGACTCTCACTCCTTCAACAAATGTTTTTGGTGCACCTACTGGACACAGCAGTGAACAAAACAGGGGGGGAAAGTCCTTACCTCCATGGAACTTATGTTCAGGAGGGTACTGTTTGTGAAAATGAATACATAATCAGCTTTGTTTATTTACCAAATACAGTAAGCACCTGCTATGCACCAGATGCTATTCTAAAAGGCTGGAGATACATCAGGAAACCAAACAGATAAAACTCCCTGTCTTAGTGGAGTTGAGGTTCTACTGTATGTGCTCAGAATATCCAGAATAATGCAGGAAGAAGAAACTGATAATATAAAAATAGATTAAAAAATTTCTTCTGTATAGCACAGGGAACTATATTCAATAACTTGTAGTAACCTTTAATGAAAAAGAATATGAAAACAAATATATATACATATGTATATACATGATTGGGACATTATGCTGCACACCAAAAATTGACACATTGTAACTGACTATACTTCGATTTAAAAAAATCAAAATTAAAAAAATAGAAACTGATTTCCTGGGAGAGGAACTGAAAGATAGGGCACAGGTCAGAGGAAGGAGGTTGCTTTCCCTCTTTTGTAATTTTGACTTTTACAGCACGTACATACATGCCCTATTTCAACAATAAACTGAATTAAAAATTTAGACTGCTGGTACCCAGACAGTGCAATAAAAATGAGGGAGAAAGTAGGTGCACTCTTCTATGTTTATGCTATACTTCAGTAGAGTATTGAAAAGGAAAATGACAACAAAGGATATCTGCACTCTCATGTTTATTGTAGCATTATTCACAGCAGCCAAGGTCTGGAAACAATCTAAGTGTCTGTCAACGGATGAACATATAAAGAAAATGTGAGATATGTATGTATACACACACACACACACACACACACACACACACGTGACAACAAGTACGGAACTAATTACTTACCACGACCTAAAAATAAAAAAAGTAAATTT